GATTTTAAAGGGAAGGGCTTGTTCATGAGTGGGATTTACCTTGGCACTTGGATTGAAAAAGACCAGGTTGAACTCTGGTGTGACTCTTAGTGTGGAAACCAACTGCATATTCAACCAATTGACAAGAATGAGAAACTACAACAATCAGAACAAGGATTAACAAATAACTGAAGGGAAGTCGATTTTTAGCTTTAAGTGTGATTAGGAGATAAGGATAAGTGGGAGTAAAGGATACAGATGTTGCAATTAGTCTTACAAAATGCATACCTGTAAGCGTACAGCATCTGTGAGAGTACTTTCAGAACCTTCTGGAAGCAGAGATGAGTATTGGCTTTTTACAGAATGATCAAAACCAGAAACTGTGGCACGGACAGTGCACTGTCAAAACAGTTAATCATATATATTAGAATATTAATTTGAGGCCCGAAGAATATAATAATGACGAAGGAATTGGTTTATAATATTACCAATCCTGATTCATTACGAAGAGCCAAAAATCTCTCCCAGCTAGACTTTGTCATTTTTGAATTATAATCATCGTCCCAGTATGCCAAGTTGTTGCAACTGCTCAGTTCCCACCTCAGAGAAAGAGTTGAGGAGTTTGAAAAAGCTTCACCAGAGTTGCTGATACCAACAGCAGCCACTCGAATTATTTGCCCATTTGCCACAGTCACTGGAGTTACACGAAGTCGTCCTGGTGCCCTGTCAGCTTGACTAACAGCTCTTACCACATCAAGCTTATTAACTGTAAAATGACATGTATAACCTCATGCCATGAGCAAATTATGGCATACCTACACAATGGACGGAATCAACTCCTATGGAATGGGAGATATTGAACATACCAGGTTCATCAACTATGAGCACAACAGAGGATGGTAAGCTGCATTGAACAGATAAGAAAGCTTCTGCCACTGCAGGTAAAGGATGGTCCATCCCCACCAGATTTCCACGCAAGAATACCAGTTTCTAGATGAATACAAGCGGAGAAGAGGTGGCAGTGTCATCTTTCACTTTAGATATTAAAAGTAAGACCAAAGAGTAAAAATAATTGCATGGAATGCCTGAAACTTACATAAGAACCAAGCGCCTGGCACGAAATTCTATACACGTTAGCATGGAAGTTATGATGGACGTAAACTCCACTTGTAAGGTCGTCCTCATCTTCATTCACACTCTCGGTGAACTCAACATTGTCACTCCACCTTTCAGGTCCCCCAAGAAGCATAACGTCAACATATGTCCCAGGTACAAGATATAACTTACTAACCCCAGTATCGGGTTCTTCTTGCGTCTTATCAAACCAATAGCCACCATGATGATTCCCGTCACTATCCTGTCTGACAGAAAGTGGCAGATAGGCCCCGATACTTAAAGTTGCTTTTAAATCAATTGATTCACTCAAAGACTTATCAAAATAATGGAACTCTTTTGCCAGAGTTGCTTGAAGCACTGTGCGGCCAGGAGATGAAGAATATATATAAGCCCGTGAACAAGGAGGACTGGAGTTCGTGCTTCTTAGTTCATCCAACATCATCATCTCAGATGTTGCATTAACAATAACAAATGAGTCACTCGCTGTCTTCCACTTTATCAATGAATTAAAAGCATCACATTTAGAGAACGAGGCACCTGATATATAAGAGTTCCAAGTTAGCAAAATATAAAAGAAAACGCAAAACAAAAAGAGATGATAACTTAACACCAGAAGGGACAAAAGACAAGTTCTGGTTATAACCATTTGAAGTCTTCATTGTGACAGCTGCTTGCAGGTGTGTTCCAACAACTGCCTCTACTGGAAAGTTTTGCAACATAACCATAGAGGATGGAACGGAAACTTCAACAATGACCTATGAAGAATTGATTAATCAGTTGAAGCACCATAATAAAGAGTAAAACCCAAAGCATAATAAGTCGCAAAAAATAAACTGTGAGCATTTGGATATGTTCCTAGTTTATCCCTCTAGGAATATAAAATAAATATAATTTGACGCATCAATCAATGGAAAACATGCAAAAAAACTCAATGTACCTCATCGAAATTTTGTGAATCGAAAGTTGACACCACCTTTACAGTGGCTATTCCAGGCCTCTTTGCTTGGATAATTCCATAAGCTGACACGGACAAAATGCTCATATCTGAAGTAAACCACTTGTAGTCACTCGATGCTTTTGCACAACCTACATTGAGGAGAAAACATCAATTCACCATGGGATTTCAAACTGGAATAGAATAGGTCACGAGAACCATAGCTTGGGAACTGACCTCCAGTCACAATTAGCTCCATCTCCTGATAAACAGCAGGGGTCCAAGGGAGTAGAATTTTAGGTGTGTCATCTTCACTGTTCAATGTAAACTGCACTTTTTCACAAACCATAATTTCTTGAACAACCTTGAGAACCTGCCAGAGAAAAAGTTGTTGAACTCCCAGAACCAACAAATGGAAAGAGACAAAAAGGATTACAAAGAGAGGTAAGTCACCTCTTTTGAGTCCTGATGCCCATTGAAGTAAGTCAATGTAGCTGTAAGGTCTCCTAATCCTGGTGAGATTGCTTTCAAAATTCTAGAATTTCGCCAACCATATTCAGAGGAAAGATCATCTGGCAGTGAGACGATTTTCCAATAATCTGAATTGTCTCCATACAGTTTGACATCATCCGTCTGCGATCAAGACAAAGGAAATTATTATGTTGGACATACCAAGAATCAGAAGGAATACTATCTACAATAAATCATCTGGAGACTTAAAGCAACAAAGCAGTGAGAAAGAACAGCCACAATATACACGTCATCAGGCTTTTCTACACTTTTATATTCTCCATTTTGATTCAGTCCCTCAAAATTTGAATACTGTGTAGTTACCAAAGAGACTCATATGACTGCAGTAAAACCAGTAAAAAGGGAAGGAAATCACCAAAGACAGTGTAGTTACTCTTACAAGCATATGGACGAATGACAACCTAAAGATAAAAAAATGTGCACCATGTCCTTTAGTTGAGAAAATGTAGAGACAAACCAGCATTGTCACACGAGACTTAAGCAAACTACACATGAGCATGCTATGGTTCCCAGTTAATGCAAAGAGTGTGAAAGAAAAGGGAAATACCTCAGTAATATAGATCTCATGCGCATCAGGTCTCCCAGAGAAAATCTTCATTTGAATTAGATATTGTCGACCAGACACCACATACCAATGCATAGACGATGGAAAAGGTTTTGATTCTGTAATAGGATCCCCTGACATTGACCAAGGTGATATGTACAATATAAAAGTATCTGGAGTGACAACATTGATAGATGATCCTTGAATGTGGCCAGCAACCCGGGTATCCTCAACAACAACGGTTGTTACCCCCAAGCTTACTGCTTTAGTCAGACCTATCAAAGGATCCACTTGAGCAACAGAAGAGTTCAACACAGACCATCTGTGATGTGATGATGGTAGATGCACAGCTGCAAATACAATAAACAGTAAACCAATCGAGAATGAGACTAGTAAGCAACATAACATAGCGTGTCAGACTCACTCTCAAGCTATATTTAGAATATAAATAAACACCAGTGAGACATCCTAAAGCAAATAATCCCATGGTTAATATGAGAATGAGCTTAAGGTAGCTTTACACATTATTTTCATATGACATGTGTATCAAACAACCTGAGCTTTCAAACGAATCACTCAAAAATTTCTTAATAAAAAGTCAAAAATTAATCTAGAAGATGCAGACAAACCTTGAGGAACATTCCCACGCATGACCTTCAATGTGTAACTGAAAGAAGCTCCCATAAGGACATAAACTGGTGAACGAGGTTCAAGTGACATGGCCTCTGCTACCGTTAGCACTATTTCATCAGCTATATGGGTAAGAGGAGCCTCAAGCAGATGAACTGAAACCTTCTCATGACCAATTTTGGTTCCCTTCACCACAAACAAATCTGAAAATACCCCCTGCAATTACCATGTCACATTAGACCCTCATCCATGAAACTTTTAGATTCAGAAAAACACACTCAATAGATTTACATACACTATCCTCAAGCTTTTTCTGGATATCCAAGTAGCCACACAGTCCCCCACAGTCGGTCAATGGAGATTCCTTCAAAGGAACATGAGCAAGATGATGTGTTGATCCACCGTTTTCAGGCGTTAGCTTCCACATGAATTGTAGACCCACCAGTGAGGAGAACTCATTCTCTACAGGAAGATTTCAGCAGATTAAAAAATACCACACAAACTGGAGAACAAAACAGTGCATTATATCCAAATATAAAGCTACCTATGGACTTGTAACGCTAAAGAATGTGGACAATGGAAAGGTTATGAAAGGGACACAGTTCTTAATCCATAAAAACCAGTTACCTTCACTATCAAAAGCGCGGACTCTAAGCATGGAGAGTCCATCAAGATCAAGCTTGATAGAATTATGAAAAATCTGGATCCGTGAGAAGTTGTCAATAAACACCTTGCAGCGAATCACCATCCCTGTCTGTATATCTGTGGCATAAACTGCAGTCTCCTTTCTACCACTGTACGGAGAAATCGATCTAAGACGGGCGCTGGTCGAACAGTGACTGCTCGAATTAAACTCAGGCATAACCGAGAGAATATCGTGATGATCCCATGACCTGCAAATCAGAAACCAAAAACAAAAGCGAACTATATCATTCCTTAATTAAGCTAGTGCTTATTACTAACTAGTACAGAAGCTGAGTTAAACGAACAAGATAACAAAGACGAGTTTTGTGGAAAATGTACCATTTGAAGCAACCATCGCTTCCTTGGAGCCGATACTCAACAGGGTTCTTCATCTTCGGAGGTAAGAGTATATTAACATCAGTAATGTGCGGACCAGAACCTAATTGCGACGAAGCTTCTCGAATCGA